GTTCAGTATTCGTTTGCATTGGCCCGCGACACGCTCAATTTGGCCCATAATCAAGACAGCTGTAGCCTGTGTTCAGATCAATTAGTATGTAAATAAGTGACGACCGATCGTTGAAATTACTCGTTCGCGCGTTTGCTTTCCAGTCGATTTTCTGCCATCTCTTTCGTTAATGGATTATGCAGAATATTTCACGACGTAGGCCAAGGATAAATTCATTACCTCGAACGTAATGAGCTAACATCTTGTTTAACTTTTTATTTTACGCCGCCTGTTTCCAATGAAATCATCTTCAATTTGTTTTGCCATTATCGGCCGTATCAATTAAGACGAAGCACCCTGGATCATGCGAGATGTGCAATTTAATCTATAGACGTGAATTTATATAAGAGTGAAAGTACAGAGCATCACGTACAAAACACCTACAATTTATGAACTTCGCACACCTGGTATGTAAACGACCAGTTAGAAAGAATTAATCATTCAGTATTGCGACCTTCGATTATGTTTCCTAGCTTTCGTAGAACAGAATATTCTCTTAATCTTAGCCTTAGTTAGAAATTAACAAAGACTACTAAAATTAAGTATACCATGCATCGTACTGACTCTTGCACTATTCTTACTAATATCAACGTTACTTCGATTCCTAATCTGTATAAAATTCAGTACTGAATTTTGAGTAACGAGTCCACATGTTCTAGAATTAAAAATAGTCATGCGAAACACTGGAAAGGTGAGGTTTATGAATTACAACAATTTAGGGAATTTCATCAATAATGAAAAAAGAAGATATTAAAAAGATTGAATCAACAGATTATGATAATGTTGGACGTTGTCCCTGAAAGGTTAATTCCTTAACGATCGCCTTGGTACAAGCATTGCCAGTACGATCGACTTCCAGTTGTTTGTTTACTTTAACCATTGAATTAAAAATATATTTTAATATTCATAAGTGAATATACGGACGGTCATGAGTTTTTGTGAAAAATTCTAGAAATTTGCAAAATGTATGTGATATCTGAAGTGATGCACCTATTATGACACTTGATAGACGAAACAAATTTTCACCTAGATTCCGTTTCTTCAGCCACGTTCATAAAAATATAAAATTAAACAAATAAACAAAATAATTAGTCGCTATAACAGAATAGTTTGCGTTATATATATTACACCTCTGGCGCCTCTGTTTCTACTTTTGCAGAAAAAATAGTTCCGATATCAATAGAAACGTCGACTTGTGACATCTTCAGAATATTTCATCAAAATAACTATTAAATGGTTAAACGTCATATTCAATTATGAAGAATCGTTGTTGATAATACTAAACTATGAACACGGTGCAACGTAAGCTTTCCGTTGTTCGAAAAATCGTAAACGATCAGTTACACAAGTACACGAGTAGTGTCGAAAGTATACTGGCGACGAGAATGGTAAATAGGGCCGTTTGAACCATCGACAACCAGGGTTCGAATTAAAGGCGAAATCGCGTAATTACCACGCTATTAACGACCAATTTTCACGTGGTATCGAGTTGCACGTGGAGAGAAACGCGCGCGCGGTGAAAAACGGCGCCGGAATGACTTTAAAAGGCGGCTTTTAAAAGGGCCCTCGTTTCGCGAAATCGGAGATCTGGAGTAATCAAATTTGCACGAACGATTCAATTCCCGAAACGTGTCCCGAAACGACCGTGATCGTCCCCCTTTACGAATTGTCCTCGTACACAACGAGGTGGTCCTCTCCTTGGCCATCGCCGAGCGGCCATTAACGGCCATTAGTTTTTGCGAATTCCTGGACAGCCGGAAGTCCCATGTAATTTCGAGGTAACGTGTAATAACGGCTCGTCTCCAGTGATACAGGGAGAGGAGGGTGAGGAGGACGCGAGGCTGAGATTTTCGTGGTTGACAAGAAAAGAAAGAAAATGGCGTCGATCGCGGTAGGTAGGACACGCTCCGCACCGGGGCCAATTAACTTGTCTCGGGGAAACGATCGGATGTAAATCGATCACGCTCAAGTTCATCGAACTTGTCGGCTTGTCGTTGGCCGAGGTTTATCGAGGTTGGCCGAGAGAAACAGGCCGGAGAAACGATCGAATTAATGCATGGAATGAATGGAAATTACGAGCGTGTAATTGAAATTTTTTTTCCGTCGAAAGTAAACGAGCGAGTTATAAATTTTGGAAACATTCATGCGCGTTGGTTT